CCTAGTGAGCTGTTTCCAGTATTCACTTATTTTGTGGCAAAATTTTTGCCCCATGATGAAAAATAAGGAAGGGGCTTCGTCATTCTAAGGTCATATTTATGTCACATTTATTACGTAAATATTATGTAATGGTATGATGTCAGTGTTACATCAAGATGTTTATGTCATATTTATGTCATATTTATTACGTCAGAGTCTGACGTAAGGAAGTGTGAAATAATGACTCTTGTATGACTCAAGTGTGACCTATATCTTACGTAAGCGTGACTTGACATGACGTCATATTTATGTAATATTTACGTAATTGTGTTTACTGGGTTTTTAGGATTTAAAAATATGTTTTTTTATGAATTCGTATAATTTTGATCTTTAAAATATAAAAATATTTTTATAATTAATATAAACGTATTAAGTTTGCAAAGTAGGTTCGATTAAAACATTTAAACTTTTTAAAATGAATTATAAGAAATTAATGTTGTGTAAATTTAAAAATAAATTTCGCGATAAGGGGAGTTTAAAATATTAAAAGTTGGCAACGTAGTGTGCTTTATAAACTAATAGATTACACATTAGATAATGGTTCCATTTAGGTAACAATTTTAGTATATATATAATATATAATAATAATAATAATAATAATAATAATATAGTATGTTATTTTTACTTAATTATTTCAAATGGAAAATGTTAATACATATGAAGGAATTTGCTAATAAAAATATTGGAGATTAATATTAGACCCCTGGTATACAGAAATTAAAAGCCAGTTTTATTTAATATTTTATCTGAAATCTGACCAATGTCAAGCATTTAAAATCTCACTTTAAATTACAGAATATAAAAATGTAAACATATATGGGCTGTTTTATTTGAAATAAAAAAGTTGATGACACTTCCGGTTAAACCGGAAGTGTCATACTATTAAAATATTCAGAAAAATAGACTTAAAAAATAGACTTAAAAATTCAAATCGATATCTTTTTCCTTCTCCAGAAATTTCTAATGGACCAAGAATGTGAAACACAACTATATACGTGTATATATATAAATATATGTCATTATTAGCAAATTTTATTTTTGTTAATAATGACAACACGATAATGATTTATTTTTTATTTCTTCTTATTTACTAAAAATCGTAGATAAATTAGTGCTTTAACCGCAAGGATATACATATATATATATATTAGGGTGCTTCAAAAAATAAAATTTAATTTTTTTTTCGCTCTTACCCTCTCAAATGTTTTTATTAAATATAAAAAAAATCCTCACCAAATATGGGCGTCTCAGCTCAACTCTAAGAGGTCGCTGTTTTTATTTTAGTTTCCCATTTAATTAACATGGGAAAAAATAATTTTATGTTTGGAATTTTATACCTCTGTATCAAAGTAACTTATGGCAATGATCATTGCAGTTTCTTATATAAAATGTAACGCTCTACAAAAAAGCTCTCCTATTATTTTTTGATAAATTGATTTCTTCTAGAGTTATACGAGGTCAAAGTTTGATAACATAAAATTTTCTGTTTTTTTTTTAATTTTATGGTAGCAGACGGGAGGTAAAAGGGGGCAAAACAAGGCAGCGGGGGGGGGGTACCCAAAAAATGAGCATATGAAAAGTTTTTCAAAATTGTACCATCCTTTTTCTAAGAGGTATAAAATTCCGAACATAAAATTATTTTTTCCCATGTTAATTAAATGGGAAACTAAAATAAAAACAGCGACCTCTTAGAGTTGAGCTGGAACGCCCATATTTCTTTTTATATTAAATAGAAATATAAACATTTGAGAGGGTAACAGCGAAAAAAAAGCACCCTAATATACATATCGTCGTTTATCTTACAAAGAGGCGTAACTCAAAAAAATTCGTTTTTGAGTTATACCAGAATGATCACCAAAATCGACTTTATAATCTCACAAACTGGCGTAGCTCTATAATAAATAGGTACAAATAAAGTTTTAGCATAAAGGAGTTTCGGCGTAACTAATATTTTTGCATTTTGTGTGCCGTACAAACTGGCGTAATTCAATTCACACCGTTTTGTTTAAAAATGAGATACGCCTCTTTGTCAGATAAACGACGATATGTATGTATATAGTATATTGTGCGACTAGTGGAAGAAAGAGGAGATTCCGAGAGAAGAATCTCCTCTTTCGAGCAATAGTCGCACACAATATTTGATTTAAAGCCAATTTTTGTTGATATTTTATCTAAAAATCTGATATCTGTCAAGCAACTTTAACCTCATTTTATTTCAATTTTAATCTAAAACTAACTTCAGTCTTTAGGCGAAATACTATTTCTCCCACTGGTTTAAGTTAAGAAATGATATGGTGTTAAATAAAAAAACTTTATTTAAGTAAAAATGACATTGGTCAAATGTCAGATAAAATAATAAACAAAACTGGCTTTTAATTTCTTGCGGTAATTGAATAAAAAATGTTGTGCGACTATTGGCTCTACGCTCGTGCATCAAACTCCACTCCCAAAGTATTTTCTATTTCTCCTACTAGTCCCACAAAATACTCACTTTATTGCTTAAATTTAACCGATAGGCAAAATTTTCTTTGCCACAGGCTTTATTTAAGCTAAAATTAAAAACAAGTAAGTTTAAAACTGCCAGACAGTTGTCGATGTCAGATAAAATATGAAATAAAATTGGCTTTATATTCCTTGTGGTAGAAATAGGGTTTTAAAATTTCCGGAAAAATTGAGGCGGGTCGCAAAAAAACAAATTCGGTGCTGTATTAACCTAACTATCGATTTATAAAATTATAATTTAACGTTTACTTATTATTATTATTAATTCAATTTAATTCAATGTTTAATTTAATTTGTTTTTTTCTGTAATAAATTTATTATCCTTAAGGATATTTTTTTAAATTAAAATAATGTTAAGATGTTGATTGCTTTGTATATTTTCAAAAAAAAAAACAATTTTTCCGGTTTTTTTCCGACACTTTAAAACCCTAGTAGAATAAAATATTTTGTGCGTATATTGCAATAAAATATATTATGTAGGTACATTTTTATTTGTTTATATTGTTATTGCTGGAAACCATAGGAAAATGGAAAGTTATCAGGAAAACTTGTTTTTTATTTATATAATATTTTATGGTTTTAACCATTTTCTATACATATTTTTAAATCGATTGTTTTTACAACATTTACACACTTCAATTTCATTTTTTTACTGATTATTGCAAGTTTGTGCTCTCATGTATTAATTTGGTTCTTCAATGAAGTTCATAGAAGTGATTTAAATTCCAAAATAAGAAATTGTTGGTTAATAATTCAATTTTTTTATTTAAAGCAGCTAGTAAATAAATATGTTTAAATGTAACAAAAAAATTATTTGAGATATAATAATTATTATGATTTTGTTTTTAGATTTTGTTAGATTATAAAAATTATCATTGATATAGTATTTTTACAGTTTCTCTTCTTAAAAAATACCTAAACCAAAAAAATATTTATATTTCTTACATAAGCTTTCTGAAAGATAAAGGCTCAATAAAAGCTTTAAAAATCTTATAACAAAATCAATCCTTAAAAACTCCAAATACCAGGTATTGTAAAACAGGCTTTAAACAAGTAAATCATAATTGCCTTTTAACAAAATCGATAATTTCATTGAGAAAAAATTCAATTTAAATCTGTACCGGACATAATTAACCCGCAAAAATTGATTGCCGTTTTGAACGCAGCCTTGCAAGCTAATAAAGCTGTGTTATCTACAGAATCAAAGTAAATTGGTTTTTAATTTTATTTTAGTTTGTATTTATTTTAAAACTACAAACAATAACTTATACCAAGAATTCTTTTAACATTGTGTTATATTTAAATACACGAAACTATAATATTTTTGTTTGACAAAAGAGTTTTTGATACCTCGTAAATTGTTTGAAGCCAATTCACAAATATTGATTTAGTAAATTAATTTATTTTACTTTGATTTTAACTTCACAATAATTATAATCTTACCTTTACAAAATCATAAACCTAAATTTTATGGAAAAAAAACTTAACCTAGTTGATCTTATAATCTATAGAAGAATTGGGATCTAGAGGTATGAGGTTATGTTAGTTAAAATTACATATGTACACTTTGATCATGCTACATGATGAAACAAACACAAATTACCTATCTTTGATAAAAATGAAACCATCAGATAAATTTAAATCAACAATTTATTGTGAAGTAAAACTACTATAAGCGTCTATAAGCTCATATATATCACAATACAGAGACAAAAAAATTAACAGACTTATACATACAAATGCTGAGTTAATACTATATAGCGATTCTCACAGCTAAACAAATATCGGTATATCTGCCTATGTGTCAAAAACATTATTTAATTGTGGAGGTTTAGGTTTGGTTACAAAAATAGTGATATATATGGTAAAATCAGAAATGCTTTTAAAAGATCGGAAACTATTTTAATTTTTCGTAGATTCTTTAATCTTGTAGAGGTAGTGGAGCGTGGTGACGTTGGCTCGTCAATATACACTAGGGTGAGCCAAAAAAACTAACCTATCGGATTTATGGGTTAAAATGAACCTACATACCGAGCAAAAAATTTCCCTGCAAGGCAAAATTTTTTGCTCAATTTTAAAAGGTGTCGGTGAGCATTCAAAGTTTTCCATTGAAATAACACGTAAAAAAATATTTTTTTCATTAAAAAGACTATAACTTTTGAACCGTTTGAAATAAAATTTTTTACGTCGCGGATTCTTGTAGAGCATAAAATTTCCCAAAGAATATATACCAGGATTATTTTTTTTAATTCAAAAATTCGTATGTTTGAAAGCTTTGAAAAGTGTAAAAAATCACTAAAACTGCAGTTTTAGTGATTTTTTACACTTTTCAAAGCTTTCAAACATACGAATTTTTGAATTTAAAAAAACTAAAACTAAAACTAAAACTGCAGTTTTAGTGATTTTTTACACTTTTCAAAGCTTTCAAACATACGAATTTTTGAATTAAAAAAAATAATCCTGGTATAGATTCTTTGGGAAATTTTATGCTCTACAAGAATCCGCGACGTAAAAATTTTTATCTCAAACGGTTCAAAAGTTATAGTCTTTTTAATGAAAAAAGATTGAGCAAAAAATTTTGCCTTGCAGGGAAATTTTTTGCTCGGTATGTAGGTTCATTTTAACCCATAAATCCGATAGGTTAGTTTTTTTGGCTCACCCTAATATACACCTTTAAGAATGTGATCCTCTACCATAAAACAATTTTACCAGACTGGGGGCAGGTCTGAGCCTTGGACCAAACGGCGTTTGTATGGCAAATCGGGGCATTCAGCAACCCTATGCAACCTAGGCAGCAAGGTATCCATAGACTCTTCTCTGTGACTTTCCTGACGCCTTATTGACTCAAAAACTTTCTCCCTGGTCTGATCCCTAGCTGAAACGTAGGGTTTTGGCGGTTCGAGCAAAATCCCGGCTTGGGGAAGAATCTTTTCGCGCTCAGCGGGGTGAAGAATCGATCTTTTCGGTTCGGGTCTATCGGGTTTTCTTTTGCCGAAAGCGGTGATCGGATCTGGGACGAGGCTTGGTCTTGGAACGAACGGCACCTTTTCCCACGGAATCTCCCTTTTCTGCAAACATTTGAAGCGTTTAAAATGCCGTCCGTCCCAATTTCCAAGCCTACAATAATTATTGGTCAGAAGGCCAATATAAAGAAAATCAAAGGGTATAATACTCTAGCACGAAGATTTTGAAAATTAAGCTAAAGCTAAAGGTCATTATTTTTACAGGTTTTCTTCAAATAATGAAGAATAATACAAAATTACTACTTTTAAGCGATAAAGTGACTAAATTTAGATATTTTATGTATTTTAAAAAAATATGTTTCTTAACAAATACACTCACAGGCAAAATAATCGATCCACACAAATTTTCGATGAATTTCAATCACAAATAACTGTCGGATTTAAACGAATATTAAAGAATATTGTAAATAAATTAATGGACAATCGCTCACATTTTAAAAAATTACTAAAAAATAGACGTACGTTTATAATATACAGGTTTAAACAAAAACATGTTTTTTACCATAAGTTTAAGACACTCTGTAGAGTGGCAAAACCGTATATTGTTCTAAATTAAGTTTTATTTATCAAGTCACATCTATTCTTAACAGTTTTGTTTTTGGTTCACCTCGATATATTTATTTTTGTGGAAAATATGGATTTTTTAAAAAAACATTGCAATTTCCAATATTTTTCTTTATGAAGAATTAAGGTTGCTATGGTCCATTCATAGGCTATGGAGAATGACAGTGAAAGTTTTGTTGAATCATCCCATACTTGGATATGTCATACACGGCGTCAAAAGCTATCAAATTGTTTTTTGCAAATTAATGTTTAAATTTTGAGGTGTCTTATTACTTTAAAAAATGGATATGTCCCCGACTTATGTTGCCAGAGCCATTAATTTAATCCAGGATGGACGGTCACAGTATTACGTAGCAAGTCTTTTCAACGTCACAAGAAGTAAAGTACAAAGGGCAACATCAGTCGGAGACATTTTTAAAAGTAAGAAGACACCTCGAAATTAACACATTAATTTACAAAATACAATTTGATACCTTTTGAAAGCTGTATATGACATGTCCAAGTATGATTCAACAAAACTGTCACTGTCATCCTCCATAGGCTATGGATGGACCATAGCAACCTTAGTTCTTCATACAGGAAAAATATTGTATGCAATGTTTTTAAAAAAAAACTCATATTTTCCACAAAAATAAATATATCAAGGTGAACCAAAAACAAAACTGTTAAAAATATATGTGACTTGATAATTAAAACTTAATTTAGAACAATATACAATTTTGCCACTCCACAGAGTGTCTTAAACTTATGGTAAAAAACATATTTTTGTTTAAACCTGTATAATATAAACGTACGTGTATTTTTTAGTAATTTTTAAAATGTGAGCGATTCTCCATTAATGTATCTACAATATTCTTTAATATTTGTTTAAATCCGAAATCAAATAAAAAAGTTATTTGCGATTGAAATTCATCGAAAATTTGTGTGAATCGATTATTTTGCCTGTGAGTGTACTATGTAATAGTATGAAGTAAACACAAAGACGTTTTTAATATTTTGTACAAACTTAAAATACCTATTTTAAGACAAATTTTAAGAGTGAAATAGTGTAGTTAAAATTAGCCTTGTTTCTAAGGTGCCACGTAAAACAGGTAAATGAAACGAAACGAAAAATTTTGTATTCTCTCCCAGACCACCACAGAAAACTAAAAATAACAGCACATCACATCACAGTGTGAGAAATTGGGACAAACAAGCATATTAAAATTATTATTTTAAACTTAAAGCTAACGATATATTAATAGATTCGTTTATTTTTTAGCGAGAGTTAAATCATTGGAAAGTTGTCAAAGTTTAACAATTTGGTACTTAAATATTTTTTATTATAAACAAGATTTCAAAGATTGTTATTTTACTTTAAAGTTTAATTTTAAATTAAATAAATATTTATATGTTATATGTAATACATATTATGTCTTCTTAAACAGGTGTGTTTTACTTTAAAATGATAACAAATTATTGTTTTTAATTTAAAAATAAGTAAATTTAAATTTTAAAATATTTGCATTGACATTATTTGGATATTTTATTGACCTTTACTTGAGAAAACTCCATGTCACTAATGTATAAGGGTGATTCCATGATTACTAACGGGAGCAACAGAAAGAAAACAAAATGTTTTATGAATGTTTTTGAAGATGTGTTGTTTCTATAATAATAATTTTATGAAAGTTCTCAGCAATAAAATTAAGTAATAATAACTATCATAAAATGATTGTTATAGAAACAACATATCTTAAAAAATATTCATAAAACATTTTGTCTTCTTTCTTTTTGTTTAACGAATTTATTTTAATTTAATTTAACAATTGTTTCTCTAATCCAGTTGTTTCTTCAGAATTGATTTCAGACTGTCTCTAATAACAAACTTATATAACGCAATTATTGCAGGTAATATATATATTAGGGTGTGTCAAAAAAATAGACTACTATTATTATTTTTTACTTTATACTCTGAAAAATATGTTGCTAGACACCTCTTGAAAATTCTCTCCAAATATGAGTTCTTAATTTTAATAGGAAGGTTCTCCACCTTACAGTTTTCTATTTTTTCCTTATTAATCAAAAACTGTTTGACGATGAATATCTTTTAAATATAATAATGATTTTTTTGTTAACAAGTTATAAAATTCATAAGAAATAAAAAATTTGCCTTAAAATAATCAAACTTTAACCTTTAATATCTTTTGAATTGTGAGGTTTACGAAAAAATTGTAAGAGACCTTTTTTGTAGAGCGTTCAATTTCCTACAAGTATATGAGAAGAGATTTTTTTCAAACAGTTGATAGCGAGATATGAATTTGTTTTCTAAATAAAAAGGAAAAAATAGGGTGTCAAGATTTTTTTTTCCTTTGTAGGTACTCTGAATAATAGGTGCCTAACAAGGTGATTAATAAACGCCATTTTATGCACGAGTTTTATTAGGCTCGAGCGAAGCTTGCGAGCGAGTGTTTAATAAAAACGAGTATCTAGAGATGTTTATAAAACTAGTTGCATACTATACTTTATCTACGACGAACAGAAATGAGAATTTAAAGCCATTTTTAGTTTATAAATATTTGACATTTTACAAATTTAACTCACTTTTTTGCAATTTATAATAACGCTAACTTCAGCCCGTCACTAAAATACCCAAAAGCCACTGTTGTTAACTTCAGACCGTGACTAAAACACCATAAAGAAAGCTCTTCAATGTAGGAGTAGATACAGAATATAATGTGTTTTAAAAAGAACATGTTTAAATTTGTTCATTATAAGAAAGTTATTAATTTTGATGCTTAAAATGTGACATGTGACGTGGTTTGAAGTTGGTGCTAAAAGCGGTGCAAAGATGAAAAATCTTGCAAAATGAGAAATTACTCGAAAGAGAAGAAAAATGCCTTTCAATTTAAGTTTTGATACGGTTTTTAAGAAATTAAGTAAATTATAAATAAAATTGACGTAAAGCCAATTTATACAAACAGATAAAAATATGTTGATGAAGTTTTAGAAATCTGCCAAGAAAATTTCTAAAAAAGATGCGTGATGCAAACCATTTTATATTTATAAACGTAACCAAACCCAAACATTTATGCAACTAAATTTGGATATTAAAGTTTTGTTGACACGTATTTTTTCACACAGGCAAAAATACTTATAAAGTAAGTATTAATACAGATGTAGTGGTACTTACCGAAGATGTATAAGAAGAAACGGAGGGTGAGGTACGGTACCTCCTGGTGGTGTAAAAATCGCTTTCGTACACCATGTTGGCGTTGATTACAAAAACTTTTTTTCGAGGGCAAAGGCAACAAAATCGTTCGACGCTTCGAGATGTTAGAACTGGACTGCCGTGTTTAGCACCAGACTGGGATTTTATTAACGTATAGCAGAACGTGGTACAGGTCTATTTTTATCTTGGTGAATGCGATTCTTGAATTTGCTAGTAGTTTTTTCGACATCATCGTTTTTGTTGTTGATTGTTGTTTCCTATGAATAAGGTTGTTGGGCGGTTTATAAATATTTACTGTGCTTTAGAATGGGATGATAAATGTTACTTTAAATAGCACTGCGATTATCTGGATTAGTTCGAACAATTGACTAATTATATTATACCTAAGCCAGTAATAGTAAGCCGTTTATTTTAATGAAAGAATTTTTTATGTTTATAGGAAGATAAAAATAGGTGTATCTAGAAAATTTATGTAGGAATTTCAGGTGATGCATCTTACTTACACGTGTTTAGGGATTAAATGCTTGGGTACTCAATTTTACATTTATAAATACACTCACAGGCAAAATAATTATTTTATAATTATAATCGATCCACACAAATTTTCGATGAATTTCAATCACAAATTACTTTTTTATTTGTTTTCGGATTTAAACAAATATTAAAGAATATTGTAGATACATTAATGAAGAATCGCTCACATTTTAAAAATTACTAAAAATTACACGTACGTTTATAATATACAGGTTTAAACAAAAAGATGTTTTTTACCATAAGTTTTAGACACTCTGTAGAGTGGCAAAACCGTATCAGCATCAGTCGGAGACATATCCATTTTTTAAAGTAAGAAGACACCTCAAAATTTAAACATTAATTTGCAAAAAATAATTTGATAGCTTTTGAAAGCCGTGTATGACATGTCAAAGTATGGGATGATTCAACAAAACTGTCACTGTCATTCTCCATAGCCTATGGATGGACCATAGCAACCTTAGTTCTTCATACAGAAAAATATTGGAAATTGCAATGTTTTTTTAAAAAATCCATATTTTCAACAAAAATAAATATATCGAGGTGAACCAAAAACAAAACCGTTAAGAATAGATGTGACTTGGTACATAAAACTTAATTTAGAACAATATACGGTTTTGCCACTCTACAGAGTGTCTTAAACTTATGGTAAAAAACATCTTTTTGTTTAAACCTGTATATTATAAACTTACGTCTATTTTTTAGTAATTATTTAAAATGTGAGCGATTCTTCATTAATGTATCTACAATATTCTTTAATATTTGTTTAAATCCGAAAACAAATAAAAAAGTTATTTGCGATTGAAATTCATCGAAAATTTGTGTGGATCGATTATTTTGTCTCTGAGTGTATTTATAAAATAAATTTATTAAAAACTAAACATCTAAAAATAAAATAAATAAAAGATAATTTTTAAGAAAACCGATTAGCCTAAGTAACGTGTGTCTGAAAATACAATAGCGTATTTACAAAAATGAAAATTTAAAACATTCTTCTATTGTAAAATATAGACCATATTTTAGCATTGCCCTGACGCGTCATGACGTAGGAACAAGCCTTTTATTAATTTTCACGTTTAGTATTTATGTATTTTTTAAAAACAAAATTCAGTTTTTCAATTTTACATTTGTGTCGTAAATTATAATTACATAATAGTGTTACAATTAAAATTACGCTAAAGTATTGTGCACACTGCTTAGTCAATGTGATAAGTAAAAACCTGTTTCTACGACCACTATGTAAAAGTCATATTTAATAATAATGGCATCGATTAGAAAATGAATCTTTTCATTTCTGTGTGAAAAGCCTAGACCAAACCAATACATAATAGTATATTCTGTAACAAGTTTGTTTCAGACTATACTTTTTCTACGTTTCCAAAAATACCATAGAAAAATAATTTAATTGAAAGAAAGTGAGGTTGGATCGGTCTAAAATTTGTTAGATATTAAAAACAGAGATGTCGGCACGAGTGTTTATTCTGTAGATAAAAGTGATGGTAGGACGGTCAAATTCTGTAATAGGAGTAGAAAAATATCTTATGTCGGATGTCGGGACAGTATTATAATATTTAGCCAAGCCAAGACAGGGCGCGGATTTTATAATTTTTTGACGTTTTTGACCTTTTTGACGTTCAATTATATCCGTAGTTATCACATTTTTGTAAGATTTTGTGTATTTGTGTGTTTTTATTGTGTATTGTTTCCAGGGGCGTGCTGGGCCGACGGACACCGGGAGAAATCCCGGTGGGCCGTTGGTCCGGAGGGCTAAGTGGGCCGGTGTGCCGGAGGGCTATGTAGCCGCAGCACGTGGTCAATTAAAAACTTTTTTAGTTGAGTTATGTATAAATATCATAACTATTTTACACATACCATGCATGCCAGCCTGCCAGCTTTGTTTCTTTTTTTGAGATTGTATATTGTTCATAAGTTTCCTGAGCGATGGTAATTTGTATTAGTTTTTATTTTAAGTACAATGCTATAATATTATGTTTTAGCATTGTGTAAAATATTGTCTGGTTGTGTTTGTTGCCTGTTTGTTTTTCAAGAATTTAATTTATACTTTAAGTTATTAATTATTAATAAATGTTTGAAATTTTTTAACTTGGTTTTGTTCACCCCCCATTTTTCGTGTGTAGTTGGCCGATTTTTCTGAATTTCCCGGGCCGGTCTGATATAGCCAGCACGCCCCTGATTGTTTCTAAGGTTTGTATTATAATAATAATTTATAAAAGACATTTTGACCGAATCATAATCTTTTAAATGGTAGGCATGTATTGTTTAATAAAATTTATCGATTTAACAGTATTTTTCAATTTCAAAATAATGATTAATGAGACAGTTACTTTTGGTAGACTATCATAAATAAAAAAAACAATGTTTCTTACCATATATGAATGGTACTTTTGGGAATAAGTATGATAATGATTCAACGAGTTTTACAAATTAAAAAAATCACAGATTTTACAAATGAATACTAAATACACTTGTTTTACATTTACATACATTTGTTTTCCTCATTGCTTTTCCATGAATCTGCGAATTTCTTTAGTTTATAAAAGTTGCTTGAGAATTACTAAATAGCATAACCACAGAAGTACCTTAAATACATGGTAGAAAACAAAGTTATAGTTTTCGTTACTAATTTAATTTAAAATCTAGCCACAAGTTAGATTTTAAATATAGCGCCATTGAAGTAACCAATCAAATACGTTGATTTTCCACCAATTAAAAGCTATGTTGGCAACATTTGCCTGTAAACACGTAATTTAATTTTTAGCCAAGTTCAGAGAGGGCGCTTCATTTGGCTCCAAACTTTATACTCTTTAAGATAGTGACTATCTGATAGTCATCTATTGGTTTGGTTTAGAGTGAAAAGTGACAGGTCCGTGTAAAATGAAATTAAATATTTTGTTTTGTATTTCACTTGTGAAAAAGCTTTCTTCAAGTTCGTGAGCAACTTAAACACTCGCATGAAAAAGTCTCTTTTCAACACTTGTAAAACAAATAACTATTAATTCCCGGATTGACTATCGCATCAGACATTTTGCACATTGATTTTAACAGCGTAGTAAATTCGCAGATTACCCGAAATGGTAGTGATTTTCGACAATATCTGTTTGCAGAGTATCTGGACATTTCGCACATTTCCGGATTTTTTACTTTGCCGGAACATATACATAATACTTCGAGACTCGAAGTAATCAAAAATATGTCGATATAAGGTGTGATATAGCGAATATTATTTGTGCTGCACACTCATACTATTCGCAACCACAAAAACAATATTTACACCTCAAAATATACGACATATATTTTTTATTACAAGTGGTATTGGAAGGAGACCAAAAATTCAAAACATTTAAATCATAAGGCATTGAAATTGAAAAATTTTCCCCTCGTAGTACAATATTCGCTGCAATTTGTACTCTTATTTTTGATTGTTCAAAAAATGACAGTTGAAAAAAACAGGTTTTAAACACTACTAGTAGGTACCTACTAGTCAAATATTCGCAAGGAATTACTTTTGGTTGGTCAAAAAATAACAAATAAAGCGCTCTGATTAATCCACTCATAAATGACAGCTGAAAAAAATTGTCATTCTTGTTAACTAATTATTTTTTAAAGTCTATATAGTACCTATATTGCTATCAATTTCAGTCATGTGTTTACTCAAAATATTATTATAGTAGCAATGATCTGGTTACATTATTGCCGTGAAAATAATTCGAAGTATTTTTGTTTATTGTTGTTGAAAATAATTTAACAAATATCACACGAGATATCGATTAATTGAAAATTATTCTTCCTGTCTGCCAAATGGCAACAGGTTTTCGAAAATCTGTCGACATGTTTAATTTACTTTTGTCTCTTGTGATTATACTACTGACTTTTTATATTCTTATTTATAAATCCTGTCTCAATAACTGGTAACATAAGAAATATAATTAAACAACTTAAAACTGTATCTAATACTTAATTCGTCACATTTTTGATGGTATTGCAATATACACTTTATAAACCATTGTTTAAAAATAGAAACATTTATTTTTAAAATAAACTAGATATCCGCCTACTCAAGAAAATAGAACGTCATAATGTTAAATAAGCGTTAAACATCATGACGTCAATAATATGAATCCATGCATTTTCACTAGTAATACCTACCACTAGAGGTCAAATTATTTCCGAAAATTTTTTCGAGCTCATGAATATTTTGAAAATTATCCCGAGTCGAAGACGAGGGATAATTTTCTAAAAATATTCATGAGGGAGAAAAAATTTCCGGATTTAATTTGACCTCGTGTGGTATTCGGTAAGAAAATTCCACACCAAATTGTGTTTAAATAATTAAAATTTATTTTTTGATTTAACTTGACCTCGACTTGATTATTTAGTTACCATGGCAACTAAGTCAACCCCAACCTAAAAGTTATTTCAGTTTTGAAGCTGTCAAGCGGCACGACGTAAAAAAATGTGAAATTGTCTGCTGTAATGATCAATCA